TGGGGAATTCTGGGAGTTGAAGTCCACTCATCTTAAAGTGGCCAAGTTTGGACAACACTGTCTTACACTCACCTTTCCCCACTTCAGGCCAAATAATAAAAAAGCCCAAATCTTTGTGGGGGGCAAACACTACAGGAGTTGTCCTGACATCACACCCCTGTACACAAGCAGTGAAGGATACAACAGTGTTTTCGGCATTTTGGCAAAAGCTCAGTGCCCTTTCTGGCAACATAAACTGAACCCTCCCCGCAGGCTGCCCCAGGGCACAAGCATGGCCCCCAGGTGGCCCAAGGCTGCCTGTCCATGTTTACGGTGCTGGGAGAAGGAGATCTGGACACCCTCCAGGAAGGGATGCTGTGGGGAATAACCGCCTGCCCCACTTCTGCCTCTCTAGGCTCCCTGCGTGCCATCAACCCTGAGAATGGCTTCTTTGGGGTGGCCCCGGGGACGTCCACTCGAACCAACCCCAATGCCATGCACACCATCCAACGTAACACCATTTTCACCAACGTGGCCGAGACCAGCGAAGGCGGAGTCTACTGGGAGGGCATCGACCAGATGATCCCCGAAGGAGTCACGATCAGCACCTGGCAAGGAAAACCTTGGAAACCTGGTAAGATCAGCTGCCAGCTGCAAAGTTACGGGGATGCCCCCCGGCTGCGCAGGGCACAGGGTGGGCAAGCAGGTGATGGAGCTGGTGCCCCTCGGAGGGGAGAGGGCCAACTAGCCCCTCGTTTTAGAGAAAGGCTGGAGCTCGGAGGCGAGAAGAGGGTTTGCTGCAAAAGGGGGCTGAATGTTTCCAAGAGGGTTGGGAATAAAATGGGAAGCCCTCTGAACCCCTGGAGAGTTATTTTGATTCTGTAGAGATCTGCTGTCTCCGACTGGGTGCCTTCCAGATAGGATGGCGCCGCAACACTGGCGTGATACATTTCCTTGTTGAAGCAGTTGATATGGCCACCCATCTCAAAAACAATTTTGTTGATACAATTGTCAGTCAGGCTTGTGCAATGCGGTGTTTTCTCAACCTTGGCAACTGCAAGCTGGCTGGGGAATTCTGGGAGTTGCAGTCCACACATCTTCCAGCTGCCAAGGTTGAGAAACATTGGTACAATGGGAGGGAACTCAAAGCCATGTAATTTCCTAACACTATTTTATTGATTTTTCCCTTTTTCATTTTTTAAAAAAAACTTTGTTTCCTTTCCTTTCCTTTCCTTTTTCTTTCTTTTCTATTTCTTTTCCTTTTGAATGATTACGAATAGTGGTGATGATCAATATTAATATTAGGTTTAGAGTTTTATAGGGATTTTTAGTTATTTCTTAAGCTATATAAATAAACGTTTTTTAAACCTAGTTAACGTTCAATTAATTAATGAAATAATGAATTTAAAATTATAATTGCAAACTCTCTGTTCTCTTACTGATATTTTCTTCTTTATCTGCTGCCTCTTTATATCTTTTAATTTTTAATGTACCTATTTATTTTGGTTTTTTAAATGTTTTAATAAATAAAATATAATAAAAAAACACAATAGTAATTTAAACAATCCCACCATAATGTCTGCAGTCACAGAAATCAGCCCTAACTTAGAAGAAAGCCAGCTGGTATTGTAAGGCTGTTGAGTTAAACCAGTGTTTCTCAACCTCGGGAACTTTAAGATGTGTGGACTTCAACTCCCAGAATT